TTATTCTTCTTCACGACGAAATTCTGTATAAAGACCGTTCAAAGTATCAAACGTCTCGAAGGCGTAAGTAAGTATCAGAGTAACGCTTCAGAAAAAAAGAGTAGAGTACGTTAAATCCTTGACGTCTAGATTTCTGGATCATTTAAACAGTACAGTTAAATTCAGACTCTTAAATTCTTACTTCTTTCGAAATCTAAATTCTGTGAATTCTACAAGTTTTTGAATTTGTGTTTGCGTTTCCAGCGAAGAGTCCGATGTTCTCGCACGTGAACGCCACATTGAATGGATTGCCGACGATCAGAAGCAGTGGCGTCGGAATCGAGAAGATGATGCGAAAACAGTTCGATATGTTGCAAGACCGTCACAGCGGCACGTGGTACCTCTTCTTAACATGCGCAACGTCCTTTGGTGTTTTTACGGATTTAATCATATGCCTGTTCCTAGCTTGTCTTTGCTTTTCTCTAATACTGATAAATGAAAATGGTAAATTATATTAAATTAACAGATTAATTACTCCTGTAGAAAAATTTTAGGGAAAAACTGGTTAGTGGCCAGTAATTGGATCGGTTTTTTCGGCTAAAATTAATTAGGTAGAACTTGTTCAAAAATTATCTAGAAAATACTGGCTATTGCGTTTGATAGCCAATCACTGGCTATAAATTATGTATGAAAATTTTAATATATGTATATCGAACTTCTTCAATGCATATATCATTTTCTTTAATATATTGAGATTATTTTTGATTATTTTTCATAATTCTCTAAATTTCGTAAACATACAAGAAACTACAACGAATTAATAGAATTAAACAATCTTTTAATATTTAAGCTTTAATATGTTTGTCCTCATTTCTAGTGTGATTAATATTTTGAAAAACATATTTGGATAATCTCGAGAGAACTATTTCAAGTCTTCTTCATTCTACAGGTACTATAGCTGACAGCCAAGCAGGTCTGGCAATATCGCAATCGTTGATTCTGATCGGTTGCTTGCAATATAGCATAAAACAAGGCATTGAGACCATGTCGCTGATGACTTCCGTGGAAAGGATTTTCCAATATACAAATCTTCCCAAGGAGGAACCCATTACATCGAACAATCCACCGCCACCTACATGGCCGTCTCAAGGACAATTAATCTTGAAGAACGTCAACATGAAATATCATAAGGATGATCCACCGGTTTTGAAGGTATAAATAAACCGACTTCATTCTTGCGGACATGTTTTGTGCAATGTTTTATCATGTAATCGCACTTTACAGAGTTTGAACGTATCCATCGAGCCTGGCTGGAAAATTGGGGTGGTTGGACGAACTGGCGCCGGCAAATCTTCTTTGATCTCGGCGCTTTTCCGCTTGTTCAATGAAGGTCTTGAAGGTGAGATCAAGATCGATGGTCGGGACACAAGCACGATGGGCTTGAGTGAACTGCGCTGCAAGATCTCCATTATACCACAGGAACCTGTGCTCTTTTCCGAGAGTCTACGTTACAATCTGGATCCGTTTAATCAGTACGACGATATGAAGCTGTGGGAGGTGTTGCGGCAAGTCGAGCTGAACGATGTCGCGCTGGACCACGATATCTTCTCTGGCGGTCATAACTTCAGCGTCGGCCAGAGGCAACTTATATGCTTGGCTAGGGCTATCCTAAGGAACAATCGCTTGCTCGTTCTTGATGAAGCCACAGCCAACATTGATTCGCAGTGAGTCTCGACAATTTTTTAGTAGTAAGATTGTTTGAATTTCGTGAAAGCAAGCAGTTTTGATTAATTGATCGTTAATGAACCGTAATAAATTATTGTATCAATAATTCAAATATTCAATTATTAATTATTAATTGTATTATTAATTTTATGAGTAATTAAGTATTTCCATAAAATATGTGTTAGGGTAAAATAAACATTTTTTTTTTGTAATAAATCTAAGATTTCAGGAAAAACAGATTTAAAAACAATAGACTTTTCAAATTAGATGAGATCATATTTCTAGCAAACATTTGTGTTTTGTATTTGTAAGATGCTGTCATAAATGCACGATTTCTGAATTTAACATAATTTCGACTTTGTTCTAAATTAGTATCTCTGTTTCTAGCACCGATGCCTTAATTCAGGATACAATAAGAAGCAGTTTTAAAGAATGCACCGTCATTACAATAGCACATCGTTTGAATACGATTATAGACAGCGATCGGATTATCGTAATGGAGAACGGATCTATCGTGGTAGGTTTTTTGAAACGTAAATATGTTCATAATTTTGACAGCAAAGAGATATATCTTTTATATGTAATTGTCTAAAATATTTATTCATAATAATTTCGATTAAGAGTATAATATAAATTTGACTTTTAAAAAAGGAATACGTATGTATATATATTTGAATAAAGAGAAAGAAGAGTATAGCCATCGTAAAACGGACATTAAATGTTTAAATTTTTATAATCAGAATTCTAAAGAATTTAAAACTTGAATCAATAATCTCATGTAATATGAAATACATGTAAAAATTTAACGTTTCCAAAACCACAATTCTTTTTTAAAATTCACATGATTTTTTTTCTCTAAAATTTTATAGTGACTCTCACTCTGAAGACTAAAATTTTAATCTTAAAAATTGAAAATTAAACCACTCTTTTTTAAGACTGGCTTAATTTCTTTATATATATGTATAAAAATTTAGATATTTGTGTGTGTGTGTGTGCATAAATAAATATATATAAGTTTTTAAGAAAATCTTGTAATCAAAGAGAAGTTTCCATTTGAATTAGAAAGATAATCAGAATTGTTACACCAACAGGAATTTGGTTGCCCGTACGAGCTGTTGCACGACAAACCGGACGGTTACTTTTCACAAATGGTAGAGAAGACGGGTAATCGGATGGCGGAAAGTCTTTTGGAACAGGCGAAGAAGGCTTGCGAGAAGAATAATGATCATCGTGAATTAAACTTATTGGCACAAAATTTCGCAAACGAGAGCGATACCACAATCACAGAACAATCTGCTTTATAGTTTTTTTTGTTTGATATACATATATTAAATTCAAAAATTATACGCATTGAAACACGGATATATTAATTACACGTGTAATACGTGTATTTATAGATATACGTGAAAAAGAGATCACTGATTTGTTGCGCTAAGCGGACTGCACCCTCGATAGGGGCACTGTAGTATTTTTCGAGTTACTCTAGTTTTTCGTATGCATTTTTTTTCAATAATAGTGTACCCAAGGATTTTTCATTTCTTGGACTTTCCAAGCAAGCGTCCTCGCGTTAGACCGAGGCTTCGATTGGTTATCTTTGGTCGGTTATCATTGAAAAACTATGCATCCAGGACATTTTTGTATTAGGATTTTTTTTACTTTACTCTATCTTTAGAATATGCTATGAAAGTATTGTATAGTGATTATGAGACTCTATATAGGACAAATACAAACATAAATATCATAAACTGCACAACTTGCTTCTTTATTTTTTATATATTTTAAGATTCATACCAAACATGCATTACAGATTACATTTCAAACGTTATACGTAAGTATCAAAAATATAGTTGCAAAATTGCAAAATTTAGATCCCTCAGATTTTTCTTTTTAAATATTTTCTAAAACAAAAAAAGAAAACTATGTATAGACTTATTAAGAGATTATATTGTCACTAAGAAAGAGAGAAAGAGATTACTTACTTTCTTCATTTACTTTATCAAAGATATTAAATAATCTGAACTTAAACAAATTATTAATACCTACTAAGGGTAAATTGGGGAATAATCTTTTGAATGTTATTAGTTCTGCATTAGTTTTATCACACACGTTAATATATTCGCGTTCGAAGGACGTGAACATAAATTCTAAGGAATTATGTTTTTTTAATTTTACTTCGTTCTTAAATAACTTTAGTCTTGCTTCGATTCACTCCTCTGTACTCTTTTTTTAAAATTGTGACCCACGTCTGCATAGAACCAGTATAATCATACAATATGGTGTTACATGATTTATTGTTCTCTTTTGTCTTTTATTGAAATTATTACTAGCGTATACATATATGTAGTGTGATTAGGGAGTTTTTGCAATAATGTGAATTCAGATACGGTGAACGCTAAAGTCATGTTATCTTTTTTTTAATTAGTCGTTAAGAAGAAGATAACCTGATTTTAGCGTTCACCGTATCTGGATAAATGGTATTCCAAAAATTCCCTAATAGCTCTGACGCAATACTGTAACTCAGACACAAATACGTAACAATTCTATATCTGCTATAAATATTCGCGTGTTATCTAAATATTTATATCATTTAAGTGATTCTATAACTTTATCCGCTAAAGGAATAGAATGCTTATGTCACTTCAAGTAGTAGATAAAGTAACTCGAACTACACAATATGAAATTTCTATGTATATGTGCAATAGACATTTGTGTAAACATTCACTATAGACATACATGTTTAGTAAACATTATGATATACAACAAAGGAAATTAACGTTTGCAATAAAAAAAAATCTAATAAAACTATATCTTTTTAAATTAAATTAAATTATTGTTTATAAATTAAATTATTGTTAAATAAGAATTAATCTGTCTCCCCAAAAAATTTTTAGTTGACTACAATATAAGATGTTAATAACTATTATACAGTTAATTAATTTATTTTTTATGTGTCGTCAAGTTTGTATTTTTAAATATTGTTTAAAGTAATAATGTTACTATGAAAAAAGTTATCTATTTAATTATAGCTATTAAATAGCTAAGTTTAATAACAAGTAAAATTTTACTAAACAAATAGGAAAGAAGAGAAAGAAGAAATAAACTACGTGGAAAAATAGCGTGAAATGTAACATGTGCATGAGAAGAAAAACAACAAATGCATTACGTAGCTGTATTTATACAAACAACGTTCGGGACAGTTATCGCTAATGTTTCTCATATATCACCAGTAATGTTTAAAGTCAATATAAAAAGCAGCAGTACAGTTACTGATGATTTCAGTAAAGGATTAACTATTGGAAAGCTTGTCTTGAGAAACTGCAGGCAAGAGAAGGAGAACAAACGGTAAAGAAAGAGGGAAAGGGGAAAGAAAGGAAGAATGCTGATCGTTTTCGTTTTTTCTGTTAGCTAGAAGTATCAGTTTTTGTGAGATAGTGTGACAATATGGATAAAAACATAAGCGACATGAAGCCAAACCCCAAAGAGACCGCAAATGTCTTCAGTGTTCTGTTCTTCTGGTTCGTCAAAATTCAATATATTCAATAAAAGAAAGGAAAAAAAGAAAGAAAGACCAAACTATGCAAGACATTATTTCTTACGAAAAATTTAAATTTTTGTAAAAAAGAAGAGAGCTTCCGAAAAATTAGAAATTTTTTTTTCTTAGAAAGTGAGATTTCTTTAAGAAGAAGCAATTTTTTTATACGCAAAATTATATTTCTCCAAAAATGATAAATGAAGAATACTTTCGCTTGTATTGCGTTAGCTACTTTTAATCTCATATGTACAACACATTTTACGATTTACTTTAAGAAAATAAAAAAGCATTTCGCAAATTTTCCTGCTATTTGAAAGAACGACGTGTAACTTACGTCGAGTCATTCTCTTATCTATTCTCTTTTACATATCAGTTGCCATTTGCAGTAATTAAAACATTAACTATGTCTTTGTATAACTGAGCCATATTAAGTTATTATTTATCATTAACAAATATGTGCACGTATATTATTGTCGTTATCGAATATAAGAGGAAATTTATTAATTTTTTCTTAGACTACAAAAACAACCACGGTTTTTCTAATCATCCACCGTTAAAATAAATTTACAATGGAAAATACATCTATAAGGTGTTCGTAAAGTATTTACTTAGCCTTTGATTCCATGAATTATATATAATTATGTTGATGTTGAGAGAAGAAATAATTATTTCGGGATATTTTAATATATTTACAATTCACAGTTAAAAATTTATATGTAATTTGCAAAATATATACTTAAATATGTATCTGTAATCTTCGACTTTGCGTGTATTATATATTTATCATTATTGATAAAAAAAAGGAAAATGATAGCTTCAGGGCAGTCTTTGTACCGTAGTATAAAGAAGTATAACGATGTGAAACCTATATAGATTGTTTCTGATGCGCACAGGTGGATGCGAGAACTATTTATGCTAAGCTACAAGCGTGATTTGGAGGAATCCGACATTTATCGACCAATCAAAGCAGACGAATCCGAAAAATTGACCGATCAGCTTGAGAAGTGAGTATTGTTCACGTTGATGTCAACAAACATACATAAGTGAATGCATATTATAATGACGCTCGTAACAATTAAATTTCTCATTTTCGCTGTAATGGAATAATAAACGAATCTTAACAACTGTTTGAAAAAAAAAAAAAACACAAAAGCAAATCATATTATATGCATATATCGTATAATTTCGATACCTATTCTATTTTGAGCGCCATTATTTTACATTAGATATATATCTACTCTTTGAACCCTTTCGAATGAGAACGCAGCAAAATATAAAGAAAGTAAATGTAAAAAGTAAAATTAATAACTTAATACTCGCTTTTCTAAAATCCTAATGCATTTTTTTCGTCTAGATACTGGAATCGCGAGCTGGATAAATTAAAGAACTTGGAATATGTCGTGGGAAAAGATGGGCAGAAGGTGCCGCTGAAAAAGGAGTCTCGTCCAAAATTGTACAAGGCGGTCCTCAGAACCTTTTGGTTGCCATATTTCATAATCGGAATCGGCTCATTTATCCAAGTATATTGATACCTTTAAAAAGAGATACCTATCATGCAATATTAATATGTACGAAATTTAGTTTAAATGTGTTTACGTGGAAAGAAGTGTTGTAAAATATTCTCACTAAGAGAAAGAAATAATAATAGAAAAATTTGTTGTGTTAGACATTTATTCCTTTGTTAGATTTAGAGATGCACCAGATATTCGGGAAGAATTGCCAGAAATCAAATATTCAGCAATCTTTTCCGGATATCTGATGCATCCCTAATTAGATTTAGTTAACATCTAATGAAGAAGACAAAAATTGATCTGAATTAATTTGAGATTTCTCTCTCTCTCTCTCTCTCTCTCTCTCTCTTTCTTTCTTGCTCGCTCTCTTCTCAGATTTATTAGATTTATAAATTTATTTGGAGGGAGAGGGGAGAGTTAAATTTCAACTTTTCCCTTTTAGTGTAGCGTAGTACGTGTAATGATCCCGATCCTGCAAGGTTGGATCATCAAATACTTCATTAATGATCCTAACGCGAAACATAAAACTTCAACGAACGAAGTGATGATCTACATCACCTTCCTGGTCATTACCAACGTCATCGCCATTATGTTGTTACACCACACTCTCTTGCAATCGTTACATGTTGGCATGAGGATACGTATCGCCTGCAGTTCTCTTCTCTATCGGAAGGTAATAATGCGAATTAACTAGTGAGCAGAATTGGGGACGTTACTTTAAAAAAATAACGCGTTATCGTTACAATAGTTACTGTTTGTTAAAAAAAAACTTGTTACCGTCACTAGTTATTCATTTAAAAAAATAACGTATTACTGTTACCATTACTTGAAAAAGTAACAAATCGTTACTTTTCGGAAAATTATTGAATTTAGTTCTCTCACATACGATATTGATAAAATTAAGATCATTCGACGCGTTTTTGCCCAACGACCGAATCTAGCAAAAACAATCGTCGAGAGCTAAACTCAACAATTACCGAATTTAAATTAAATATTGTTTTTAAACATTAATGTCATTATTAAAAATGTATTTCAAGATTCACTTCCAGTACTGAAAAGTAGTATATATGTAATGTGAATTACAGATTTTCAATATTGATAGTGATTATTGGAATGCAATCTAAAATATAAAATAAAAATATTTTTTTTTTAATAAAAATGAGAAAGTAAACATTTTGTAATTGTATTTATTGCAAATAATAACCTTTTGTAATAGATAATACAATGTTAAATTGTCAATATATATTTGTATACTTACACAAGCATTAAAAAAATTTTTAAGTATTTTACTCATTTGTTATAACAACGCACAACTAGGGTAGCTATATACATTTCTAAAGACACAAAAACATCTTTCAGCACCAGCAATCGAAATATGATCCAATCCGACTCATCCAACAAAAATTAAAGAAATATTAAAAGTAACGGTTAAATCGTTATCATTATTGCAAAAATGTAATGTTACAGTTAGCGTTACAGACAGAAAAAAGTAACGATCGTTACCGAAAAAAGTAACAGCGTTATTTTCCAACTCTGAGTCCATGCACTGGTCCAATTAAGTTCTTCCTAGAAAGAAAAAACAGTTCCTTTCTAGTCGGAAAAAGTTTACTTTGCTTTAATTTAATAATTGTACACTATTTTACGGAATCGTTGAATCAATATGCAATGTTTAATATTTAGAACATTTTAGGACAACATTGGACTCATATAGATGTATAAATAAGGAATCAGTTTTAAAATTATGCGGCAAAGAGACCAATTTTAATTGTAATTAATTGAAAGATTAATATCAAATGTTTTCATTAGTGCAAAAAATTCCTTTAGAGTTTAAAGAAATAGTGCGTCATATTGAGTTTGTTATCTTGCACGTTTATTGTTTATCGTTATCTGTCGTTTGCATACGCTTATTACACTGTCTGATAAAAAAGTCACTTTTCTTTCTCTCCGAAGTACAATGTACATATCCCAAAGATTTTTTTCTTGGTAAAAACGATGTCATTGATAAAATTTGTGTACCATATATCAGGATTTTGAGTAAATTAAGAATGAAATGGCATTTTTTACTGTTTTCAATATTTTTTGACAGCAAAACAAAACCTTGTTTCTAAATAAAGTTTTTCTAGTCTAAAAGTACAATTCAAGAGTTTTCAAATGAATTTTAGGATATGATTAACATTTATTTTTATTAAATTATAATTGTTTCCGTAAACATAAATTCAAAACAAACTTTTATTTTATTGTAAAAATTGTATTTGTATAATTGTATTTGTATAGTTATTTGTATAGTCATATGAAGATTATTGAATGCCAAGACCCACTTTTATTGAAAATAATTTTTTTTCCTCTTATTTGTGTTGAAACACTTGTCAGCTCATTTCACTTAATATTGTTTATTATAAAAAATAATGAAAATGACAAAAAATGTTATATTTTGCTCATTTGATCCCAATTTACACAAAATCTTGCAAATTCTGCCAACAACATCGTGTTCAGCACAAAAAAATCTTTTTTTATATGCACTATAATATATTTCAGAAAATATTTGAATGCTGATAAAAGTTATCGTTCTAGAATTTCTTGTAAAAATAATGTGGAATCTAACGCATTCAAAATATAAAGTAACAAGTCACCATATAAATAACCCGAATTTTTTTATTTCTATAATCACTTGGAGGCAAAATTTGTAATGTATATATCTATATATCTCTATATATTTTAAATATTTAATTTTTATACTTAAGTATTATTAATAATGATCTACAAATTGATATTACACATTTTATAATACATAATGACACTGTTTTTTTTGTAAATGTATAATTGCATGGTAAAATGTATTAGCCAATTATTCGCAAGTAATTTCTCGTCTTAAAATTTTAAACTGTTCTAAGCTAAAACTTTTTAAATTTCAATTTCTATAACAATTATTAGACATTTATTTTTGTAATATTTATGTTGCAATATGCAATTGTGTTTATAATTGTAATATTATATAATTTAAAAGATTAGACAATAAATGTATCACCACTTGATCCTAATATCATCCACATTATAGGTATGACCTTTAACGATTACCAATTACACGTTTGCTGGTACAATATTATATTTAACTATAATGGCAACCAATAACACGTTTGCTGGTACAATATTCATCGTGGAATGACGTGTCTTTCGAGTGATCTTATCTGTTTAAAAATATAGCAGCTCGGTAAAAAATTTTTCGTACATAATTATACATAAACGGTTATACGTAAGTAATTTATACATAACTTATTTATAACGGTCACAAATGATGTACAACCGTTTATGTATGATTACGTATAAACAATTTTTTACCGAGCTGCTATATTTCTAAACAGATAAGATCACTCAAAAGACACGTCATTCCGTGCTGAATATTATACCAGCAAACGTGTTATTGGTAGACATATTGAAGGCTATGTCTATAATGAGGAAGATATTAGAATTAAGTGGTTAAATATTCATTTGTCATATTTTTGAAATTAACATTACAATTCCAAATAATATTGCATATTACAACATGAATGTTACAAAAAAAATTAATCTTTCGATTTTGCTATAAAAATTGAAACTCAAGAAGTTTAGATTATAACAGGCCCCTAAAGTTTAAAGTTGGAAATTATTTGTGAATAATTTCCCGACATTTTACCTTGCAATTATAAATTTACAAAAAAAGAACAGCACTATTAGGTATGATAAAACCTATAATAATATCAATTTGTTGATCATTAATAATTTTTAAGTGAAAAATTAAATTTAAAAAATATATTATATATATTACAAATTTTGCTCTGAATGCTCTAAGTGATTATAAAAATAAAAAAAATTAAATTAGTTTTATGGTGACTTGTTATTTTATATTATAAACGCTAGATTCTATATTATTCTGCAAGAAATTCTAGAACAATAACTTTGATCAGCATTCAAATACTCTTTGAAATATTATAATACATATTCCGAAGATTTATACGTATACGTATATGGAATATGTCCACATTTAATTATGTAATGAATTATACATAATTATACAAATTTTTACGTAATTTTGTATAGTGATGTATTTATATATGAAACGTGATTACATATGAAAAAATATTTTTTGACCGGGAGATTATATACAGGCAAAAATCGAGTTAAGTAAAAAATTGCAATTTTTACTTGTTGCAAAAACAAGTAAAAAATTTTTTTACAATTTTTCATAATTTCATAATTAAATAATCTCTTTATAATATAATAATCAAAAATTAATAAACAAAAAGAGAATAAGCATGTGTGAGAATATGTGTGATAATGTTTGCGTGCGTGTGTCTCAGAGATGTTGCGAATGATTGATTACATCAGTCATTGAACAGGATTTATGAAGAATGATTCTAATTTATGTTAAGCAGCTTTATTCAGTTTTATTACAATTTTCATAGCAAATTTCGTATACCTTTATTGTAAAAATTAATTTTAAAAAATTCATGTTGTGCTTATTTGTATTGATGGATGTAAGGACAAAGCGGAAAGAAAGTGAAAAGATCTAATTCAATTTATAATTATTTCCAAAACTGTTGTAGTTATTACGGTTGAATACAGCAGCCATGAACCAAACCGGTACCGGACAGATCATGAATCTTCTCAGCAATGATGTCATTCGCTTCGATCAATTAACAATGTTCCTAAATTACATATGGATCATGCCTTTTACGGTAATCCTTTACTTTATCTTGTGAAAAAGTGAAAGCATTCGTGTACATCCTGCAGTAATTAAACAGCACTTCGAGCGTACTGTTGAATAAAAATCACTAAAATTTATTAACCTTTTTTGTAGATTATTGATAGGTATAAATTTTAATAATTATAATATAATTCGTAGAATACCTGTTATATAAATCGATTATATGCATATAAGCTATTTGTATGCATTTTATAACTTTCAGGACTTCTTCTTTTCATTTGTTTTGAAGTTGCTCTTAAATAATTGTTTGCTGAAATTGACTGAGCTTTATTTTTATTCGCAGACCGTTATCATAGGAACAATAATGTGGCAAAAAGTCGGTATTTCGTGTCTTGTCGGCATCGGGACGTTGTTGATCATCGTCCTCCCAGGACAAGGGACTTTGAGCTTCTTGAATCTCAAACTCAGAGCCACGATTGCGCCACTGACAGACCGAAGAGTGCAACTGATGAGCGAACTCATAGCTGGGATACAGGTATCCTCAAGAAGTTTGATTAGTTATTTTATTCTTAAACGATACAGATGATGAATAAAGAGAGATGGTTGCTTTTGCCTACAAATCGATTGCCTACAGTATCTTTTGCCTACATCACTTTTGCCTACAGTTCGATTGCCTGCATGCGCTTTTGCACACAAATATAATATTAAAGTTAAGTAAGAAAATAATTTATATTTTTAGGAAATCTGTTATGTGAACAGTGGAGGTCAGTGTAGATAGTGTCCGCTTGGAATATTTTTCCAAAAAAATCTAACCCTAACCAAACCATTTGTTGGTGTAAGGTAGCCCTCATTTCGCGTGGAAGATTGTGAGCTGTAGGCAATAATGTATTATATGTAAGCAATCGAGCTGTAGGCAATAGTACATGTAGGCAAAAGTAATTCCGTTTCTAAAATTTTTACTTGTGTGCAAAAGCGCATGTAGGCAATATCGAGCTGCAGGCAATAATACACGTAGGAGATCGAACTGTAGGCAAAAGTGATGTAGGCAAAAGATAATGTAGGCAATCGATTTGTAGGTAAACGGGATCCCCCCCGAATAAAAATATAATACCAACATCCAAGTATCATTTATAAACAAATTTTATGAAACAAATTTATGAGATGGTAATTCTCGATTCAGGTGGTGAAGATGTACGCCTGGGAGAAACCGTTCAGCCAGATTGTATCAATAATCAGAAAGTGGGAGATAAAGCAAATCAAATTCTCGTCGTACGTGCGCGCTGCATATTTGGCCATCATAGTCTTTACTGAACGATTGACCGTCTACTTCACCCTGATAACGTTCGTCTTAATGGGGAATAATTTGACTGCCGATGTGACCTATGAACTGTCGACATACTTCAACATACTTCAAATCATCGTCGCGTTGTACTTTCCGCAAGGGCTAATATTGCTAGGTGAATCAATAGTTTCATTCAATCGATTGGAGGTATATATGTTATCATATTATTTTCTAATTTACGATGAACTTAAATCTACAATCATACTTATATCTCTATTGTCACGTACTTATTGAAGTGCGCTTAATTTTTACAGGATTTTTTACTGATGGACGAAGTAAACACGAGACGCTCCTCGGAGAAGACGCCGCAGTTGCAGTCTAAATCTCAGAAACCAACTGATGCAGAAAATCAAATAGACAGGTACATCTCGAGAAATGGGAGTATCGTTCTGTCCGAACATCAAGGATTATCTGACCTTCCGGTATACGTAAAGCTTCAGCGGGTTTCCGCCAATTGGATCAGTGGCCAATTGCCGCCGACTTTGTGCAACATCAATTTAACTATCAAGCCAGGTCAATTGTGTGCTGTAGTCGGTGCAGTAGGCTCCGGAAAATCGTCTATATTACATCTACTACTGAAGGAATTAAATCCCGGCACGGGTTCCGTAATCTTTACTCAGGGCTCCTCGAAGTACAATTTTATGGGCAATTTATCCACTGGATACTTCACGAACAATCCAAATCTACGTATCTCCTATGCCAGTCAAGAACCCTGGCTTTTCGGTGGTACTGTAAGGGACAATATACTGTTTGGCCAGTCCTATGACAAGGCTAGATACATGCAGGTAATTTTCATGGTCCAAAGTAATTGTTGCGGATACTGTACAGTGTTTATATATTCCTGCTATTGCACGTTAATATTAAGAATTTTTATATGTAACTAGTAACAATATTCTTACAATTAGATCCTTCAATCTCACGCATCAATCATTAAACATGAATTACGTCTTTGTGACTGGATATAAAGAAGATATAATTTAGCAAGTGTTATGAAATTTTCTGAATCTTTAATCTATATGTGGTTCCATTTAGATGAAAGAAAAAAGAAAAAAGTCTGATATTTCCTAATTTCGAAATTTTTAACATTCTTTAAAGTTTCTTTTTGGTCAATTGGTAAATGTTTCAGGTAGCAAATGTGTGCGCTTTGACGAAGGATTTCCGACAGTTTCCACAGGGAGATATGACAATAGTCGGCGATAGAGGTGTATCTCTGTCCGGTGGCCAAAGAGCGCGAATCAATCTCGCGAGGGCGGTTTATAGACAAGCGGATGTCTATTTGCTCGACGATCCCTTGAGCGCGGTGGATACTCGTGTTGCTAGGCACCTCTATGGGAAGTGCATCACCGAATATCTCCACGGTAAGACGAGGATACTTGTCACACATCAACTGCAATTCCTTAAAAGGGTGGATCACATCGTCGTACTGGATCGAGTGAGTAACATAGAATATTCTTTAGTTATCTTTATTAAATTAAAAAAATTTTAATTTTAAAAGATTGATTTTTTAATTTGTTTTAAAAGTAAAGAATTTAGATATAATAATGACAAAAACAAAAGACTCCGCACTAATCCTATATGAAATTGGGTTTCGGTTAAATTAAATGGTTTTCTCGTATGTTACAGCTTATGACCTGCTGAACCAAACCTATAAAAATGCTCAATAACTTTTAAACGGCTGACCTAAAATGCATAAATTATATACAATTTATTGTGAAATGTCAGCAACTTTAGGTGAATCAAACACGAAAACTGTTCATTTTTTTTCGCTAAAACTTATAGGTTTTTTCAGTAGGTCATAAGCTATAACGTATGAGAAAACCATTTGATTTAACCAAAATCCAATTTCATATAGGATTAGTGCGGGGTCCTTTAACTTATTGCTGAATGAATAATTAAAAATTTTTTTCTTTTCGTTATGAAGACAGACATTATTTTATTAATAACATATAAAAATTAGATAATTTCATAATTAAAACTATTAAATAATAAGATTTTTTAAATAAAAAATAACATGAAACTTTTAAACATTTAATTTATATGTAATTTACATATAATTAATTAAAAGATGAAGGTTGAATATCTTTTAAATTAAATATCCTAATTTTATTTTCTAAGGGTTTCGTGAAAATGCAAGGAAATTATAACGAATTAGTACAATCAAATAAAGATTTCATTGGGATGTTGGACAATTTGAACCAAGCACAGAGAAAGGAAGAGGACATGAGAAGAGCTTCGGAAATGTCTAGGAGAATCACATTAACGAGACGGACATCAAGATTATCGACTACAAGTTCCATCACTGTGAGATGATCACTCGTTATTTATAATAAAAAAAATATAGAAACTGAAAAAAAATTTTTTACATTATTTTTGTTTAATAAAAATAGATAGCACAAAAAATAAAATTGTAAAATAAAAATAGAATAAAATGAATATAAATAAAAATAAAAATACAAAATAATTAAAAAAAATATCTGCATTTTCGCGCATTAAAGATTTCTAATACACTTTCACTAATTATTATCAATTAATAAAGCGCGGAAGAGATTTTTAAATTAAGATTCAAAAAAGTTAAGTAGTTTTCAAATATCTACAAATTTTTTAACATTATTTTCTTCGTTTTTAAATAATTTAATCTGAATTAACTTCATCAGATTACATCTATTATGAGAGATAAATGCAAGTAATTAAATTATTATTTTGCCATCGTACAGCACTCGGACATTGATGATTCGGATTATGTGGAGAACAGCCCGGAAGCCGAGATGACGGCACACGGTCGAGTAGCCGGCAGAGTGTACAAGGAATATCTGCATAACGGTGGCAATAGTTTCACGCTATCTTTACTGCTGATAATCTTCATCATCAGTCAGGTCGCCACTACTGGGAACGATTACTGGCTGTCATACTGGACCACCTTGGAGGATGTCAGGCGTACCGAAAATACTAGTGACGTCAAACAATTCACGAACATGTACAACAATAGTTTCCTTGGGTCGATCTTCACGTTGAACCCGGACGGCCTGCTGAGCACTATGGATGCCATATATGTATATACATTCTGCATCATCGCCTGCATCGCTACCACGCTGTTTCGCAGCTTTCTTTTCATGAAGATCTCTATGAACTCGAGTAGTAACCTTCACAACATCATGTTCTTCAAACTGCTGCAGGCGCGCATGTCCTTCTTCCACAACAATCCTTCCGGTGAGTAGGTAACAGTTATGAAATCTGATAGTCGTCTTACTTATTCTACAGAGACATTCAGAAAAATTCTTTTATAACAATTTTTTTAAATATTTTTCAGGTAATTCTTAGAATATTTCATAATTTTTATATAATTATTATAAAAAATTTTTTAGAAAGATTTTTTAGTTTTTAAGTGAATTGAGACTTTTTAGAAGTGCTGAGAAAGTTTGTAACTTTTCTAAATTTCTTCATAAATAGATGTAAATTCTGAAATAGAATTTACAAGATTACTCATTTTACAATTTCCAAAGAAAACTTAAAAAATTTAAAGAAATTAAGATATTTCTTTTAAAGAAATCATTATAAATTTAAAATATAAAAAATTGCTAAAAATATTATTAGAATCTTTTTAAGAATTTCTAAAATGTTAATTCTGGATACAAAAAACCAGTATATTTTTGTCGAGTGTGATATCATTAAGTTGTAATGATAGCTACAGCTATCCATAAAAAAATATAGCGTAACGATGATGTAGATATTTTTTTGCACACATTCATGATATCAAAAAGATTCAAATTTTATCGATTAAAATTAATTAATTTTGTTTTAGAATATTATATTATATTTATGCAACTTATATGCTAATTGTATTAATTGAAAGTCATTCTAATTATAAGCTCGAAATAAGCCACGACTCTGTTTAATTTGTTTAGAAAATATACGAGCGTTTTCATGCTAACAAATTATCGAACTTACGCCGATTTCGATTTCTGGACTTCTAAATTTTTTTCTCAGTTCTTACAGAGAGTTAACGATTATTGTATTCCAGGAAGAATTTTAAACAGATTTTCGAAGGATATGGGCATCATGGATGAGTGGCTGCCCAAACTGATGTTGGAGGCGATCCAAGGGTTTTGCGTAGTATGTGGTATATTGATCATGGAGGCGATAATTAATCAGTGGATGCTGATATTGATAGTCATACTGGTGGTCTTGTTTTTCTTCGCTTCGAAATCCTATATGAAGATTGGTCAAGACCTCAAACGTCTCGAAGGCGTAAGTAAGTATATTAGAACAAGTAATACTTTATTAGAAAAAAGTGCGGCGTATATTATACCTCTGAAGACAAAACTCCTGTCAAAGAATTCGTATTTTTAAGTTCTTACATTTCCCGGAATTAAAAAGTTTTTCAAAAGTTTTTTTGAATTTGTTTTCAGTGAAGAGTCCCATATTCTCGTACGTAAATGCCACTCTGAATGGTTTGCCGACGATCAGAAGCAGCGGCATTGAAATCGAGAAAATAATGCGAAAACGTTTTGATGAGTTGCAAGATCGTCACAGCGGCACGTGGTACCTCTTTTTAACATGCACGATAGCCTTTTCTGTCGTTGCGGATTTAATAATGTGCCTGTTCCTCGCCTGCATTTGCTTTTCTCTAATACCAATGAATGAGACTGGTAAATTATATCTAATTAATTAACAGTTCTTAGTTAATGAGAGTTAAATTTTTTTTCTAAGGATTTCATAAAGATGCAGAAGGCTAAAACTTAGAAGAATTAATTAGTAGAACTAAATAAGCTTTTAATTTTAGTCCTTATTTCTGCGTGTGATTCTTTTTCTCAATCTTCAAACTATTGCAAGTTCACTTTGTTCTTTACTATAGGCAGTGTAGCCGGCAGCAAAGCAGGTCTAGCAATATCGCAGTCATTGATCCTAATCGTTTGTCTACAATACACCATAAAACAGTTGAGCGAGTCGTTGTCATTGATGACCTCCGTCGAAAGGATTCTTCAGTACACGAATCTTCCTAAAGAGGAACCTATTACCTCGGACGATCCACCGCCACCTACATGGCCATCCCAAGGACAATTGATCTTGAAGAATGTCAACATGAAATATCATAAGGATGATCCACCAGTTTTGAAGGTATAAATAAACCTACTGTTTATTCTTACGAACATTTTTTGTGTTTTATCATGTAATTGCACTTTACAGAATCTGAACGTATCCATTGAGCCAGGCTGGAAAGTTGGGGTGGTTGGACGAACTGGCGCCGGCAAGTCTTCCTTGATCTCGGCGTTCTTCCGCTTGTTCAATGAAGGTCTTGAAGGCGAGATCAAGATCGATGGTCGGGACACAAGCACGGTGGGCCTGAGTGAACTGCGCTGCAAAATCTCCATCATACCGCAGGAACCTGTGCTCTTTTCCGAGAGTCTACGTTACAATCTGGATCCGTTCAATCAGTACGACGACATGAAGCTGTGGGAGGTGTTGCGGCAAGTCGAGATGAATGATGTCACGTTAGACCACGATATCTTTTCTGGCGGTCATAACTTCAGCGTCGGCCAGAGGCAACTCATATGCCTAGCCAGAGCCATCTTGAGGAACAATCGCTTGCTTGTTCTCGATGAAGCCACGGCCAATATTGATTCGCAGTGAGTCTTTACGATTCTTTAGGATTGTATTTAAATATCATTTGGTGAAGACGATAAATTTTTATTGATTAATTATTAATAAATTCTCCGTAGCAAAAGAAGCCACAGTAATCGCAACAAAGTCATGATGACGTGCAAATATTTACTTTGTCACGGGTGTGATATGACAGTAAAATCATTGTATTGTGCGAATGTCCGCTTTGTTACAGGTGTGACATCATTATACAGATGAATTGAAAGTTAATTATTGTATTATGACACATACCGATCACATACAGGTCAAGATAATAATACGATGTAGTCTTTGATTATTTTACAGTAACATCAGAAGTTATGACTATTAAGAGTTTATTGTAATATAAACGTGACTTTTTTTGCTATGGAGTATAGCAATAAATTATCATATGTAAATAATTCAAACTTTCTATTATTAAGTTGCTACTTTTGCGAATGATATAAAGTATTTTCACAGTATGTTACAAGGTTACATCAAGTTACAGTCGAGTACGAAAAACATTCGTTTTATAACAAATTTAGAATTAATAGAAAGCAAATCTTTTCAAATTAAATCGGATTGGTAGATATTTCCATCAAAATTGTATATATTTGTATCTGTAATTTGCAACACATGAATTCTAAATTTAACATGTTTATAAATTTGCATCCCTAAATTTAAAACTCTATTTCTAGCACGGATGCTTTAATTCAGGATACAATAAGGAGCAGTTTTAAAGAATGTACTGTTATCACGATTGCACATCGTTTGAATACGATTATAGATAGCAATCGGATTATCGTGATGGAAAATGGTTCTATCGTGGTAGGTTTTTCCATTTTAATAATTAAAGCATGAATGGGTTACGAAGAATATTGATTTTGTAAGACAAAATTAAGAGATATAATTTTCTATATAACTGTTTAAAAAGTTTGTTCATAATAATTTTGATTAATAGCATGATCAGTTCAATCTCTGAAAGATGTTTAGAATAAAACTCATTCTGAAAAGTGAAATTTTGTTCTTTAAGATTGAATATTGGGATATTCTTATTGAAGACCAACTTAATTTTTACTCTTTAGAGAGAAAATTTACTAAAAGTTATTTAGAGAGTTCGAAATCGATTTTCTATTTAACAATATATTTTTTTCTGGAAATTCAATGTTACGTATACAAAGAATAATCAAGTTTTTTTGAAAAATTTTGTAATATCCTGGAGAGAAGTCTTCATAATCATTTGATAATTAGAATTGTCATGTCAATAGGAATTCGGTTGCCCATATGAGCTGTTACACGACAAAGCAAATGGTTACTTTTCACAAATGGTGGAGAAGACGGGCAATCAGATGGCGCAAAGTCTTTTAGAACAAGCGAAGAAGGCTTGCGAGAAGAATAATGATCGTTGTGAATTGAACTTGTCGGCTCAAAATACTGAGTGTGAGAGCGACACCACGCTTACAGAACATACCGCTTTATAGATTTTCTACTTATAGACAGGGTTGGGTAAGTTAATTTTTTCTTTTAACTAAGTTAAGTTAAAGTTACCAACCTTGAAAATTTAACTTAGTTAAGATACAAGTTAATGTATAATGAAATTAATTGAATTAAAAGTTAAGTTAATAAAAAAAAGTAATTGGAAAATTAAAAGTTAAATTTCTTTCTATTTTATGATTTCAGAGTCTTACAAATAACGGAAATGACAAACATATATTTCATTTAGAATATACTCTATATTTTTTTTAAACTTTTTGTTTATATATACTGTTATATATACGTATATATATGTATATAGATTTCAACCTATCACAAAACTAGATACATTAAAATATACGGTTTTTGCTAGATTGAAATCAATATATAATGTAAATAATGTATACAAACAAAACTTTTAAGTAAAATATAGAGTATGTTCTAAATGAAGTATATGTTTGAGTCAGAGCCTTAACTTCAAAAAATTTAAATAAAAAGTTAATAGTTATCGATAAAATGTAACTAAATAAAGTTAAAAACTTAAGAGTCTAAAATGAAACTAAGTTAAGTTAAAATTATTTAACTTTTCAACTTTTTAACTTAATTTTTAGCTTTTTAACTTGGCACTACCCAACCCTACTTATAGAAATCTTATACTAAAGATGTATATATATATATATATACTATATGTTGTATATAAAGTTTTATATATACAACAACTCATGAAACTGATCAATCCGTGCTATTAGAAATTTTATTTTGAAAATTCATGAATTAAAATATCTATAGCAAATTAACATCATGTTTGTTTGATTATGTATTATTAATATTAAAAGGTCATTTTCGTCTATGCCTTCTTTAAATCAGTTAGTTATATTATGTATTACATTTGTTACTGTCCTATGAGTCATTGTAATTTTATTATATAAAGATATATTTATACATGTTCTCTTGTGCGTCAGTTAGTACACGATCAAATTTATGAAGAAAAGGAAGGGTGAAACAAGAAAGAGAACCATACTAAGAAGATAACATAAATCGAGGATAAGACATATCTGTATGTTTAGTATAATTTGCTAACTTCTAATAACTTCAGTTTTTATTTACTGCCCCATAATTATAACGCAAATGTGTCGTATCTATTGTAAAGACGGATTAGGATTAAATATGTTATTTTGTCGATTATTCCTGTCAGCGTATGACAAAATAAAATATGATGAATACTTACCTCTTATATGAAATCTTAGTTTTTAAATATTTTATACACGATGCAACGAGTTAAATTGAAATATACACGAAGACAGGAGTATATCTATAGCAAGCGTGCAATGCGCGCTATAGACGACCAATTATGTTTGTTGCGTAGCTTGAAATCCTCAAAAATGTTTGCACTTAAAATGAGGTAAATATATATACATATTCAGGCGTCGAAGAAAATGAAAGCGAAGGTGTTGAATGCATAAAGTGCAAGCAACGCGAACAGACCTATTATTGCGCTAAAATACTGCTCCCCGTCAACTTTCATTTTCAAATTTTAAATATTACACTGGCCCTATATGCACCGATCCTTTGAGGCGGTGTAGCAAAATTTCACTTCGTGCATAAACTTACACTACACTGCAGCCATGGAAACACGATACACCGAACGAATTCGCCTATCACTAACCATAGAAACACGCTTATACACTGTCTGCAATAATGCAGCCAAAGATAAACGCTACAAGTGTGGTTGTTCCCTGATAAAAATAAAAATTGGATCGAAAGTCGAGTGGAATAGGAGAGTAATAAAAGCGTAACGTAACTTTTAGGAAGCAAAATTGAAACAATGAAGCATAAAAGAGGCATTCACGTTTTTTTTACATTCCGATGTTTCAATTTTTGCCTCCTAGAAGTTCCGTTTACGCTTCTATTACTCTCTCATTACATTTGATTTACGCTCCGATTTTTATTTTCACCATGGTTCTGAAGACAAATTTCGTACGATTCTGTGCAGATTAAATTCTAAATGCGACCATTTAAACATTTATACCGCGGTAATTTTGAAGTGACTAGCTCTAAAGATCAAAGGGTACCTACTGGGCCCTCCAGTACCCACATTGATATTTAACGGCGACCCTCTTTTTATTTTAAATACCAAGTTACAAAATAAGTGTAATATAACGTGTTATATTACAGTTTTATTGTTATGTGGAAAATTACACCTAAGAGATATGGTACGTGTAACTTAGTGCTTGCTAGATTTGAAGGTTTTCGTGTTTACGTACAATTTATTATTTTTCATGCAATGTATTTTAATACCAAATTATAAAACACAAAGAAAGAATTATTATGTACAAAGAATATTATAATAAAATGTAATACAAATCAAACATATGCGCTTGTTAGTTTAGCAGAAACCTCGCTAACTCATATTAGGATAAGAATTGCCTTATGGCTATTACAGGAGGTAGTAAATAGCATTAGATTTCATGAAAAAAATCAATGTCAGGCTCAATTGAAATTAAATCCAAGAAGGCATTTGGTGAACTGATTCGCAACTAGTATATGGTGTCTAATTGTATATAATTGTCATTACTTAATTAATAATTAAAATTAAAACGTATAAAATGGTATACATTCGTCCATAATGTAATTTTTATAATCAATTATAACTACAAAATATTTTATTATATACTTAGATATCCTTCTGAATAAAAATACGAATTTTTTTCTCAAGAGTGAATCATAACTAGTGGCATTACTCTCTATAAGTACTTATAAATAAAAATTCCTCGAATAGAAAGGCAATCTAATCTAGATTATCTGCGTGTTCATTCCGTTCAATACTTGCTGGTTAAACGGTATATACATAAGTTATCACCCAGTGTACATATTTTACAGTGTAGTACTCACAAAGTTCCTAAAGAAATTGCAAAAGTTATTCCTAAAAATCTTATAAAAATATTAAAACGTGTCTCGTGGAGCAAGAACTAATTCAGTTAAAATACTACGACGACTCGCAAACTATGACAGAGACGCTAGAAAGAGCACTGGCGCCATTATTGACCTTTAGCCCGTTCTTCGGTTTAGGCATGTTCGAATATCCTCGTGGACAACCGAGGCCATATCTGTCTTGCCTATATGCTTTGGCCAAATGGGGTGTTCTTATGTACTTCTACTACTCTCCAAAAATCAACAAGGATTTTCAGAGTAAAAACTATTTAATGAATGATTTCTTGCCTTTAATTCTCATAATATCAATTTTCATTGGCTTCTGTCGTTTTAAGGTAAAAATTTGAAAACGTACTCCCGGTCCATATATAATAATACTATAGCTGTGTTCCAAAATTTACTGCCAGTGCTGAAAATCTTTAGTTTAAGTCATGTCCACTATAGATTTTCAGTACTGGCAGTAAATTTTGGAATATAGCTTTAGTCTACGTCTTCTTTATCCCCATCGCTACATCCTATTACCCTGTTAACACGTTATCTATCTCTCTTTTTCATAGAACAATAAATAAAGTAAATTAAATTACGAGCGAATTATACAATATATTTTTCATTGTAATTATTTATAACTCTTTATCTGTCCCATTTTCTGTATATATTACAATAACAATTTTTGCTTAAATATAAATTTATAAAAATTTTTTTCTGTGTCGCATATTCGATAAATATGATTTTTTTAAAGGAATTAAAAATGTGCTTACGTGAACTTGCTATAGTAGACGACACGTTGGAAGTTCTCGGAGCGCCAAAGGAATATCAAAGACTACGTAACTGGATTATTCGAATAATAATCGGATTGATTGCAAACGTTTTTTTTCAAATAGCAACGTATAATATTATTGTTTTCTTTATTTATAACTATGACATAAATTTCACCCTGTTTTCGGATACGACGTATCGTGCGTTTCTCGACAATTATCCGTCAAACGTCATTATCTTCAATGCTCTGGTTTCTACAGTTATCCTTGGGTTAGTACTATACCTGTGTATACATTTACTTTGTAAGCTGTTTTTATTGATATGGTACATCAAAATGTTTACAGTGTGAAACACATAAGGACCTTTTTGTAACATATAAAAAATGGAAGCCATCCCTTACGGAAAAAACTCTTAAAATTTGAGTGTTTACACTTTAAAAAGCACTGAAAAAATACACTCAAGGTAACACTCAATTAATGATTATTTTGGACGCTCAACTTGAGTATAACTCTCAACTTGATTGTTATTGATGACTTGAATGTTGAGTGTTAATCTCAATTTGATAGTTAACTTGAGTGTCAGGGTGAAATCACACTGTGCGGAAAATTGCGGAACAAAGAATGCGTCATTCAGCGGACTCAACAGTTGAGTGAGCACTGTTATTGGTACACTGAGAAAAAAATGCTGTTGATTCAATTAAAGTCTATATTACAGGCTGTCATTAACATAAGTGATTAATTCATGTATATTTTTATTGACACAAAGGCATAAATTATTATTTCAATAATCAAGCCTTTATATCAATAAAATATACGCATGAATTAATCACTTATGTTAGTGACAGCCCGTAATATAGATTTTAATTGAATCAACAGCATTTTTTTCTCAGTGTATATTCTTCTAGATCTAAAATTCTGATTGGATGAGCTAGAAGAATACATTAATAACAGCGAGCACTCAACTGTTGAGTTCGCTGAATGCGCCCATTGAAACAACCAATTAGCGCTATTCGGAATAACGCCGAATAAAGCTGATTGGTTGTTTTTGTGACAGATTTTCTTTTCCGCACCGTGTGATTTCACCCTTAGACCCTACGTACAATGGAGGAAGTATTATTATAGGAATAGAAATAAATATTAAAAAAGTCAGTCGGACTAATAGATTTTTTTGGAATCTTGATCATCATATTCGAAAATACGGTTTCGGGAAAAACGCGAATAAAGTTTTGAAATATTTTAGTACAAGTACCGCTCCATTTTCTGTAGTTAGAAATAAAAGTGACGCTATGAAGGGAAACTTTGCTGTATTGTAGAAAAATGTTCTAGAATGTTTTCGAAAGGTTGAATATAAATAATGGTGAGCGCCGGTTATAGCAATTGGTTGATGCAGAATCATTTGAATCGACCAATCGACTCCAAACACCACGTCATTTTATCTCGGACAGCATAAACAATTTTTGTTTCTCCCAAAAAACGTTTTTGTGGGATATTCTTATGATTATAAACATTGAAAGAAAGCAAAAAGAATCGATTTCTTTTACTCCT